ATGGAAAGTTAAGGAACTTACCTTAATTTAAGCCAAATGGAAAGTTAAGGAACTTACCTTAATTTAAGCCAAATGGAAAGTTAAGGAACTTACCTTAATTTAAGCCAAATGGAAAGTTAGGGAACTTATCTTAATTTAAGCCAAATGGAAAGTTAGGGAACTTACCTTAATTTAAGCCAAATGGAAAGAATGATTGAAATCAACCTTTTAAGTGAATGACTATCATGCTTTAAAATATGGTTTTCAAATGAGACCCAAAATGAGACTTCTCCTGAAGAATAATAATAAAATATTCGAAATTTCTCGAGTTTTGGGTTTCTTTTAAAACCATTACAACTTTTGTATGTGATCCTGTGTGCTAAAGTATTAATCAGGCTTTAAAATATATTAGAATACCACAGACTTACTAAAAGTCTAATAATATGTCACACTTATGTTTCTAGTATTTTGCAATGTATTTTTTCATATTATTAAAACATTAAGTGTACTTTAACAATTAGGTATCTCATTCTATCTATCTGTTAATCATAAATTAAGTTCTTAGTTACTCTTTCATTTTGGTATATCACTCAAATATTTCAAACTTTATATAGCCAATAAAATATCGCCATGCTAAATACATCACTTTTTTTTTTTATAAACATAAAATTGATGAAATGTATCCTGCTTCATTGTTGGCATGATAAGAAATACTGTAAATGCAAATACTATATATCTTAATATCCCATGGTATCTATTTCTTATTTACAAAATTCACCAATTTGCCAATTCTGCTATGTTTCTAATTTTGAACACATTAAATCCAGTTAAAATTGTGTACAAAATTCAGCCTGAGATATAACTTTTTTTAGCTTGATCAGTCAAGAAACTTTTCTGTTCTTTCATAGAATAATTTTATTGAATCTTGCTTGAGCTTGTATATAGGAGATATATTGTCACATGGAACAGAGATACTTTCACATTTCAGTGCCTGTCCTTTAACTTTAGATGCAGAGAGAATCTGCTTTGTGGTTGAGAAAGATTTATTGTGATCTTTGAGGAAAGCAGACTCATTTCTGTCCTGAAGGACTGAAGTTTCTTCTGTGTCTTGATCTTTTATTCATCTCTTCTATTGATCTTTCGAGTTAAGTTTACTTCATGTATAAATACAGTTTATTATACTTTTCTTCTTTTACATCATCACATTGGAATATTCCATCCTAACAATCAGCCAACCTTTTGTTAGCTCCAAAAAATAAAGCATTTTATGTTATTCAAACTTCAACACTGTCTTCTATCTTATTTACTCCTCCTGCAAAAAATTATTGCAATTTTTCTTCCACACGTTAAATCCATGAATATCTAATTTTTGTGGAGAGCAGGTAAATGTGTGCAGGTATATCATTGAATTAACACACATTAATTCAATCAAACAATTTTTAGCCCAGGATTTAGTTATTGTGGAAGTCTTAATGATTTGTATTTTAATTTCTTCAGATTATTTTTCTCTTGCACTCTTTTTGTGAGAAACAATGCAAGAGATGTTTCTGGATTTTGTTTCTGAATTTTAGCAGAGGATAAGAGACAGACTGATCTATGGGTGAGGACAAAAGACCTCGAATTAAATCAGTGGAGTCCTTTATTAAACACTGAGTATTCTGCACTCCAACAGTCGTTTCAAAGTTTCATGCTCCAACCACTTACCAAGACAAGTGAACCATGACCTGGTCCATCAGATATCACTGATAATGTCAGTTGGTGTCAAGAATGCTGCCAAGAGGGAGCTGCTGATCATGAACCAGCTGAGACCAACTGCACACACAGATGTATTGCCATGGAAAACTTTAAGTTGTGATTTTCAACAGGAAACACCTTTGAATTTTCTTTGAAGTAACTAACAAGACTTCATGGTGGTGTTTGTTTGTATCTATGTAGAGAAGACCAGGTTGATTGATGATAAAACCTGGTATATCTGATGAAATGGAGAGAGAGATAGCCAGAACACTGTATATTAGTGTTCAAAATTGCAATGACCACACTGATAACTATTTGTGATTTATACAAGAAATAAGTATAAGGTGACAATATTTATTTAACAGTTCATAAAGTGAATTGTTTACATATATTTTGTGTTAGTAACTTCAGGCGTGCATACTGATGGATTGTGACACAGTTCAACTTTTTAGTTCTGGCAATGAAAGCACACATAACTGTAACAGTTTACCTACTATGTTCATATTGCCTACTAACCAAACTCCATGTGTGTGTGTGTGTGTGTGTGCATATGCCATATGCATCTATACACGTGCGCACTTGTGTATGATAGATATTCATAAAATCACATCAGTTAAAAACCTATAAGCTCAGTGAAACAATTATGCCAAAGGAAAATAAAATTTAACATGCAAGCAAAGAAAATATTACAAAAATACAGATATAAAATCTTTGCCATTTCTTTGGTTGTATTTTTAGCACAGAATAAAGTTGCCTGAAAAAGCAGATTTTGGCTCAGCAGTGTGTAGATTTATAATGCTAAAAACTGGGTTTCAATACCTGTGGTAAGCATAGTACAGATAGTTCACTGTGCAGCTTTGTGCTTAACAATAGACAAACAATGCATTGTACAGCAGGTATGAGTCAGTATTTTCATTTATGTTAAAGTTTGAAAATAAAGGATGTTTACAAAAACAAAAAAGTAATATTTTTCATGCAGTTTACCAAAAGGGACAATTTCCTTCATAAAAGCTCTTTTCTTTTTCCCATTTAGTCACACATATAGAGGTGTAAAAGCAAGAAAGTCAACTACAGCACTGATCCATGCCATACCATGAGAATCAATAAATTGGTTGGTAGTTTTCATTGTCACCAACAAGCCAGGCAACAACTTAAGTGATACTGCACTTCACATGCAGCCCACTAATTTTAGTAAAAAGCTTATGGATGAAGACCATTCCTTCTTGGTTCCCATTTTCCAAATTATCTCACCCTCAGAGGAAGAGAGCAAAGATGAAATGTAAAAGGAGATGACTGGTAGCTTGACTTCTCTGAACCATTCCAAGTGGCATTGAAAGAGTACATGCATGAGAGTTCTGTATATTACCAGGTTGTGCTGTTCCATTATGTTTATGTTAGTCTAACAAAGGGTTGCAATTTTCATGTGGTGTTAAATTTAAACAGATGTTGCTTGAGAACAATATTAAAGTACAAAGAGGAAGGTTGTAGTACGTAAGTATTAAATACCTTATTCTGTTATAATATGCTTTTCTTATCTACATAATTCATAAATTTCTCTAAGTTCTAATTTTGGAATGCACTAAATCTAGTTAGGATCATGTGCAAATGTGGTGTTATTTTTTGTAGTTTTACTGGTCAAGGAACTTATCAACTGTTTCATGGGATAGTTGTATTGTGTCAGTTGCAGACAAAATGTGCAGTTTTGACACTTTTTAAGAAAGATTCTGTCCTTTGAGGAGAGCTTACTGATTTTTATCTTGAAGAAGCCAAGACTTGCTAGTTAAGTTTTACCAGTTTTATCTATCCCTTCTGTTGATCATTTGAATCAACTTTACTTCACCTTTAAATACAGTTTAACTATACTTTTATTCTTTTTCTTTATTACAACACAGTAATTCACCCTAACAATCATTAAACCTTTAGTTTTCTTCAGAAAATAACACATTTTTATGTTATCCAAAATTCAACAGTATGCTTTGCCTCATTTCAACCATTTTTAATAAATCACTGCACTTTTCCTTCTGCACAGTAAATCCACAAGCCTCTAATTTTTTATGGAAATCAGGTAACTGTGTGAATATTCTTGAATTATCACACTACAAATTTAAAAGATTGTTTAAAACAAATCAATACCTTTTACAGTTAAGCTTCCATCAGAACTACTTTCACCAAGGGGATTTTTGGCAATGCAGGAATATTTTCCACTGTCTTCAGGGTGACAGGAAGAAATGATGAGAGACATAACACCATCAGACAATTGTGACATTTTGACATTATCTTTGTCAGGATTTAGTTCTCTGCCATCTTTAAACCTAAAATAATTTTATAAATAAGAAAGAATATGTGCAATAAAAATTATAACTAAAACCAATGTCTGTGAAATAGATCCTCTGTCGTTATTTTGAAAGTGTTTCAAAAACAAATAAAATTCAATTTCTTAAAGCAACTAATATATTTAAAAACAGATGGAAACTAACTTCATACTTCTGATATTAAATGCAGGCCATATTCTAAAGTCATCAAATTAACATTATGGCCTCAGTTAAACTTTTACCAAGAGAGGGATAGAAATATTACTGTTTGAAAAAACAATAAATCAAAGCTACATATAAATGCTTGGATAGTAAATTATATTTAATACATACCACTTAACTTCAGGTTGAGGGACACCAAAAACCTGAACCTCTAGTTTTGCTGGGAAATCTTCAACAGCTTCAACATCCTGGAGTGTTTTTTTGAAGAATGGTTGTTCTGCAATAATAAAATGAGATCATTTCTACAACTAAACTTATCTGTTGGGGCAGAGTTATAATCTACAATGCCAAGATGTATAAATCAAAAGAAAACTTGCAACAGAACAAATTTATGTTGAATTCATTAAAAAGCTGTAAAATATCATATTCCAAAATTTTAAAAAAATGAAAGAAACTTGCATTGAAACAATATGTGAATAATATATTACAGATAAATTCTTTCTGAAATGGCACAATATTGAACAGGAAAATGAATCAAGTTAAAAAATGTAAATAGCTTAGAATTTACTATGAATCAGAAAGAAAATACATAATAAAATGCCTAAAACATTAAAGTTATGGAACATACTTATTGTATGTGGCCTTCAAACTTGAAATTAGATCAAAATAAAAACACATTCACATACAAATAAAAATGGAAGGAACATTTTTTTTTCAAATTATAAAAATATTAGATTTTAATAGTTTAAATATGTAGTACGAGCATGTAATATATGTTTTACATCCATTTAGCTACAAAGTAAAATTATGTTCTTTTTCATTAAGATGTTCAAGCACTTACTAACTTTAGCTTTCTCAAAGGGCAAGCAGTAGTTAAAGCAATATCTAATTAGCATGCCAAGCTATTTTTATCAACAAATCAGATAATAACTGTGGGCAGTTATGTCCTTAGTTTGCAGGTCTTCAACTACTCAAGTGAGGTAACTAGCACAAAACATATGCTTGGGTATGCTAAAAAGTTGAGGCTAATTGGTATATTTAGGTTCTTGCTTTTGTGTTGTTACTACATTTATTTGTTCAGTAGGGGGCCAATATTTCTTTAGTTTATAGTAGTAAGAACTTTTCAAGTTTTTGCATTAGATTTGTATGTAGTTTTAATTTTCTTTTAACTTTCAGCAAGAGCTTTTGTAGTTCTCACACACTGAGTCTCAGCATTCTACACTTTCCTCAAGTATTCAGCAAAGACCTCTTGGTTTCAGTTTCTTTATTTTTACTGTTAAAGAGAGCATTAAAGCTCTCACCTTTGTTTATGGTCACCATAAGTGAACGTAATGATTACCATGAAATCTGCAGGCTTCTAGTCTCGAGGGAACTTAAACCTTAGAGTCAAGTGAATTTGGTGAAATCAACACTTGGATTTAACAGTTTTTGTAGAGTTAACTTTATAGTGACTTTGTTATAATTTAATTTGGAGCTATTTTCATTTAGTGTTTCCTTTTTTAGTTTAATTTATTGGGGCAGAACACAGACTAAAAATAGGGTTATTAAAGTTTTCATTGTGGATCTATTTTAGTCCTACACCTTTTAAACACACACACATTCACTTGCTCTATTGCTTACTGTTTAGTAGCTTACTGTGAGTGCATTATTGTTTGTTTTGTAATTAAGCACAAAGCTACACAATGGGCTATCTGTGCTCTGCCCACCACGGGTATCAAAACCCAGATTCTAGGATTGTAAGTCCACAGTCATACTGCTGTGCCACTGGGGGGTGAGTTAAACAGTTGTTTAACAGTTAAAACAGTTGTTAAACAGTTATTAAACAGTTGTTTTGTATATGGATTTGTGTCTTGTCTCTTTTTATTTGATTTAACTGTTTCAATTACAAAAAAAAATTACAACTAAAATCCAAGGACTTCTTGTTAGCAGGCCTAACTTTTCTGCTCTGATGATAGTCTGTGATATACCACATGTATTATCCTGTTAAATGTTTATTGATTTATAAAGTATGTAACATTTTAAAACATGCACACAAACAGATTACAGATAACAAAGAGACACTCTGACTTACGGTTAACAGTGAGAGGTGCACTACTTCTTGATTCACCATGGTGATTAGCTGCTAGAATAGAATAGATGCCTGTATCTTCTGGCTTCACTTTATCAAGAACAAGGGCCTGTGTTCCATCTGGCTTGTGCTCAATATGGATTTGATCATCTGGTTTTATTTCTTGGCCATTTTTAAGCCTGAAAGTGAAGAAAAACGTTGAAAATTAGCCAATATATCCTTAAATTATACCTTTTCAAGGCAAGATGCTTTAACTATATTTAAATAAGGCATCTAATCATAATTTTTATATATATATTCATCAAATTTATGAAAATTTTTCTCTTACAACAACTTAGACAGATAAAGAATAGACTTTAAATGAATACTTGTCATACCCAAAGCTGAATCATTGTTACAGTGTTAATAAATATTTTTACTAACACTAAAAATATCCCTATTCTTTCAGATAAATAATTGATAACAACTCCTTAAATATATTTCATCAAATGCTCCTAATTTAAATCAATTAAATATGTATAGGACTAAAAGAAACTGAACCTTTTTCATAAAATTATGATATAGAATCCAAATATATTATAGTAGGATCTGACCCTTTTCTGTGTTAAGTCTCTTATTAGAGTGGGAAACATATTCACTTTCTGATTAGAAGTTAAACTGTTTTGATAGTTTGGATTTATGTGAAATCCAGGGATTTTGGCTTTAATTTCACTTTGATTGCTACAAATATTTCAGACAGAGATTTATATTATTTCTTTGCAATCAATGAAATTTTTTTCTTTTCTGTATAAAATATTAAGAAAATATGCTAGATATGTCAATCATATCTATATTGTTTAGATACATGGATTCTATATCTATTGGTAAAAGTGAACAAAGAATTATTATATTTTAAGGAAATTATAAACAGCAAATCAAATACATTAACAATTTTCACAGAAAACAATCATGCCAGTCCTTTTTCAGACAAAAATACCTAGGCATTTCAAAAGTTATAAAGTATTGTTATGTAGTGGTATATAATTTTAATTATTCTTTTTGATAGTTTATATATATATATATATATTTAGTGATAATTTCTGTTAAAATATGATTTAATATGTGTGTGGTTAGGTGGCTTAAAGTTCAATGAATTTTATTTCATTTATTTATATTGTTAGGTTAACAGGGCCATCTTTTGGAATGTTCTTTAGAAAGAATTTCAAAGAAACTTCTTGAAATAAGCTAGCCTATAAAAGTTAGCATTTTGCACCACTGAAAATGTATGTTCTATAGATAATTCCTTCCACTCAAATATTAGATTTCCTCAATTTTTTGATGCCCTCTACGTGCACTAGTTTTCATTTGCCTTGAGGCTCCCACCTGAATTCATTTGTTTTCACATGGTATAGGAGTGCAACACATTCTCCTACTATCCTTGAGGCTCCCACCTGAATTCATGTGTTTTCACATGGTATAGGAGTGCAACACATTCTCCTACTATCCTTGAGGCTTCCATCCAAATTCATGTGTTTTCACATGGTATAGGAGTGCAACATATTCTCCCACTATCCTTGAGGCTCCCACCTGAATTCATGTGTTTTCACATGGTATAGGAGTGCAACACATTCTCCCACTATCCTT